AATTATAGCAGAGTACCTAATATATCTAGGAGAGGTCAGGAAAGTTGAAGCATTATCTGAGAGCAGTGGAAGGATGTTCCCTCATACTGTGTGAAGCTTTGAGATGGGGTTTGTAGAGGAAGACAGACTCAAGATGCTTGGGAAACAAAAGGGAAGAAACAGCAGAGGGAGGGGATTTGGTCCCTGAAAAACACTCTTCTTTGGAATAGATTCAATTCATCCATCAAAAGAGCAGGCACAAATGTCTGAGCAAGCCACTGGGACATCAGTATTAGACGCCCCAGGGTAGTAAAGACCAATCCCCCAAACAAACTGATTTAGGCACCCCCTGAGCAATCTCTTTGGGTCCAGCCACTGGGACATCAGTATTAGACGCCCCAGGGCAGTAAAGACCAATCCCCCAAACAAACTGATTCAGGCACCCCCTGAGCAGTCTCTTTGGGTCCCAGTGAAGGAGTAAGAAGTCTTCTGGAACTGCAGAGTCCCCAGGGCAATGGAAATGGAAAAATTCGTGGCACTCTCGTTGATTTGGGTCCCCCACTGGGTTCATTTTGAGCTTCTCAACCTTGCTCTCTCCCTGTTTCTTTTTTTCCCTTCTGGATGGTTGAGCACTCTTTAAGCTCAGAAACCATCTGAGTTATAATCTATGTATTTTTCTCACTCAACCAAATGTTTTTTATTAGCAACTATTTACATATTAATGAATATGAAAAATAATTAATGTAAAATGAGGAGCCGGCTTGAAGGCAGCTTTGTCAGATGGCGGTTCCTAAAGAGGATATCTGAGAAGACTGTTTTCCTGACAGTCCTATGGCAGCTTCCCTGAGTGCCAGTAGGAGCCTCTCGGGGCGGTCAGTGCGCATGGCGAGAATAAGTCCTGGGAAGTAGGGCCGACCACCTGAAGGCACCTGAGAGCAGTCAGCAGAAAAATCGTTAAGACAGTAGATACTGGACCTCCTGCACTGGTTCTCTGGTTTTCTTCTTGTTTCTCCAGTTTTCTTTCTCTGTGTCCTTTTACTCTACTTTCTGGAGACAATGTTATACTAAATGTTATACTCCAACCAGACTTGTCTATTTAGTTTGTCAAATTTTGCTTCATGTATTTTGAAGTTCTGTTATCGAATGTATATGTATTTAGAATTTTTGTCTTTTTTACTATTTTATCATTATGAAATGATCTTTCTCTCTGTTAATACTACTTGTCTTGAAGTCTATTTTGTCTGATGTTAATATGGCCACACCAGTTTTCTTTTCCTCTTGTTTTCATTTATTTTATTAAAAATTTTTTTAAAATATATTTTTTATTGATTTCAGAGAGGAAGGGAGAGGGAGAGAGAGATAGAAACATCACGATGAAAGAGAATCATTGATCAGCTGCCTCCTTCATGCCCCCTAGTGGGGATTGAGCCTGCAACCTGGGCATGTGCCCTTGACTAGTATCAAACCTGTGACCCTTCAGCCTGCAGGCCGACACTCTATCCACTGAGCCAAACCAGCTAGTACCTCCTCTTGTTTTTGTTTTTTTAAATGATTTTTTTTTAGTTTTATTAAACTCAAAGTAGAATGATTCTTATAGTATCTCTAAAGGCAGCACATGCTGTTCCAGCACAAACTTTTTAAAAACCCTAAAGAACCATTTTCCATTATTTCTTTTTAAAATAGCTTTATTGCAGCATAATTGACCTTCAGTAAACCATACACATTTTTAAATATACAATTTGACAAGTTTGACATATATAGACACCATCACCACAATCAGATAATAAACTTATCCAACACCCTCGGACATTTTCTTTCTAACCTTTCTAGTCCTCCTTCCTCCCCATCTCCCCCACCCCTCCCAGGTGACCACGGATTTGCTTTTGGTTTACAGATTAGTTTACACTTTCTAGAATTTTATATAATGGAGTCATATGATATGTACCCTTTGTCAGTTTGAATAATTTTTAGAGATTTATCTTCAAGTTCACTCATTTCTTCCATAGTATTAAATCTGCTTTTAATTCCATCCAACAAATGGTTTATTTCAGATTTTATATTTTCCAGTTTTAGAATTTTCATTTAGTTCTTTTATATTTCTTCTAAGATACATCATCTTGTCACCCATTATATCCAGATTTTTCTATAGATTCTTTTTATTTTTATTTTTTACTTGTGGACATTTTAATGAACGTCCCTCCATGTAGCTTCAAGCTACCAGGACACAGGCCCCACCAACACCCTTAATCTTCTCCTCGGCTCTTCTGCTGAAGAACTTGGCCTTCACAATGAGAGGCTGCTTTGGGAGCTTTCTCTTCCCCAGAACTTTGTAGTAGCCCGATCGCACCACATCAGTGATAGGAGCAGCTCCAGTCTTGGTTTTGCAGCATTTACCTGTGTCTGCTCACTGACCAGGGTCCACAGTTTATCAAGGTTGACAGTTGGGCAGAAGCTCTGGTTCCTCTTTAAGTGGTAATGCCTCATACCGACTTTCCCAAAGTAACCTGGGTGATATTTGTCAAAGTTGATCCTGTGATGATGCAAGCCACCAGCATTACCGCACCCTCCCCCTGCCCCAGGTGCTTCCTGTGCTTGCCGATGTGGCTGTGGCCGTGGCTCACGTGGCCCCGACGTGCCCCGATGTTTTCGGGTCTTCCTCAGTCTGGATGGCATGTTGGTGGCCGAGCGGCAAGAGCTATAGATTCTTTAACATGAATATATAGTAAATAGTTTAAGTCCATATCTGCTAATTCTAACATCTGAATCATCCATTAGTCATCTTCCAGTGACTTTTATTTTGGTTATGGGTTGCATTTTCCTGCTTCTCAGGTCTAATAATTTTTAATGAATGCTGGTCAGTGTGGATATAAAGTTGTAGAGACTCTGGCTTCTGTTATTTTCCTCTGCAGAGTATTGAATTTTATTCTAGAAAGAAATTAAGTTGGCAGATCATCTTGACTACGTGGGGGCTTGGTTTAAAGCTGTATTAGATCTGGTTTATTTTAGTTTTTTTTTCTTAGTCCCATGAGATTTCAGTAGAAAAACCAAGTTGTTTGCCCATCCCTCTAACTTGGCAGAACTTGAGTTCTAAACTCTGTCTTCTCAGCACTGGACAGCTGTGAGGTTGCTGCGTGGCCTCCTTTAGTCTCCCAGCAGATGTTTCCCACTGGGCTTCTTGCAGTCTCACCTGCCCACGGTAGTTCAAAACTCAGCCAGCCCTGGCCAGTGTTCTCAGTCGTTAGTGTTGGCCCACACACGCAAAGGTCTTAGGTTTGATTCCAGGTCAAGGACACGTACTTGGGTTGTGGGTTCGCTCTCTGCCCCCGGTAGATCTTTTCCTAGGGCCTCTGCCAGGGCTGCCCTGCTGGGGGCCTCTGTGTCTGCTGCGTGTGGCTCTCATTCTTGCTTCAAGGAAATGCAGTGAGGCCGGGGAACTTCTGAGCAGCCAGGAGTGAAGTGATGGCCTTCGGAGGGCAGGTGATAAGCATTGGGCTTCTTCGGCCTGGAATGCAGAGAGGTGACATATCCCAGCATAAAGCCATGGCCAGTGTGGTGAAGGCTGATGTGAACCTGGATGCCGGATCCCGAGATGCTGCGGGGAGAGGGTTGCTTTGGAAACGGGAGCAGATAAGTTGAGTATAAAGAGATGAAAGCACAGTTTACCATGGCAGACCAGACACTTGGAAAACTATTACAGGTAGCTCTTCTGGCAGATGGCTTAATTCCATTGGGGTTTGGACAAATAAATGAATGACAGAACTCACCGCCCCCCCCTAAAAAAAAAGAAAAAGAGAGAGAAAGAGGCTTCTGAAATGTAATGACACAGATATAGCCATTAATTCAGACACTGAAGAGGATAATATGCTCTTACTGGGCTGGATATAGAATAGGCAGCTTGGTGTAGTAGGGAAAACTTGATCTGAATTAAGATCTGGGTTCAAATCTTGATTCCTCAACTTACTTGCTGTGTGACCTTGAGAGGTTTCCTAACCTTTCTCTCCTAGACAAGGTTCTGATGAAAGTTAAATAAGTCCGTTACATTTTCAGTAGGCTCCATAAAGCAAAGGTTAGCCCAAGTCCTAACCGAATTACCTGGGTTTTCATTGAACACGTATTTGCTGAGCCCTACCAAATACCAGGCTGTGCACATATATCTCCCCTGTTCTAGAAAGGCTCCTGAAGTGAAGGCGCAGCTCTGCTCCGGCCTGCAGACCTTCCTCAGGAGGGCGGGAGGCTGTGAAGGTGAGCGTCCCCGCGTCCTCTGCTGGTTGCAGGTGGCATGCATGATGGGCAAGGACAGCCGAGTGCCACCTTGGCCGGACCCCCTGATCCCCATCTCAGCAAACAAGCCCCACTTCCCTCCCCGCCACTTTCCTAATAACCAAGCCAAAGGTTTCACAACCCACTGATAATGCCAGATGGTGCTGATGTGGTTTTCAGCCACTTCTGCTTTTCATTTACTCATTTCTCCTGAGAGTCTGTAGGTGCCCAGCTCTGGGACAGGAGAGTTGAAGGTCTTTGGGGGAAGTGGAGAGGGTGAGAATGAGGGGCCCTGTGGATGTTTGAGGTTTATTCCCCTCCTACAAAAAAACTGTGTTTCTAGAATCTGAGTGCCCACATCCTTACGATTAATTATGCTGACCTCAGATCCGGTGGTGCCTCCTCCCGCCCTTAGTGTGTCCCTGTCCCTTAGCCTCTGGTCACAGAAGTTCCATGATGGCAGTCTGATCAGCAGATAAGCACTGGCCAGGTGAGGGGTTGCACCTGCAGTGATGACTAAATCTGCCCATCCAAAATCCAGCTTTTAACCCTTCAGTATTATTCACATATTTTCTTGGCCTCAATTAAAGTTTCCTTTGGTCCAGCCTTAAACTGCATTGTGAGCTTTTATTTGACTTCATGCCCAGCCTCCTTCCCTCAAAGGTTGCCATGTTGGTGGGAGGGCTGATTCCATTCCCTCCTCACTTTGCGTCTGCCATCGGAACTCATTTAACTCTGACCCTTTTTCTTTCCTTTTCCAGAACTCACATGCTGCGTGTCAGACTGAGCTACCCCTGTTTCATCCTATAATCCAAGACTTGCTCCACTGCCCTGCTGCTGTTCATGGCCGTGCCTGGGAAGGAGGCAGCCGCATCCCCAGTACCTTTCAGTGGGAGACCTCCATGCACACCCCATGGAGACTCGATGAGGGGGGAGGGGGAAGAAACTGTAGGAGTGCACGCCACAAAAGCTGAGTCTCCCTGTGTGAATCAGTGTCACCTCGCTTTCCTCAGAGACCTCGCTGTCCCCGAGAGACCTGCCTGAGAATTAAGGGCAAGAGGGAGCCACTCCGCTTCCTCCCTTCTCCGCACCCTGCATCCCTGCACAGCAGCTCTTGGGGCAGGAGGGCGGCTGAGAGCTCCGAGCCACTGCTGTCCTGCATGCGCCAGCTCAGCTCTGCTGTAAGCTGTATGACCATGTACAGGAGGGACATGGCATCTTTCTGAATGGATTTTTCTTAACAAATGTGCCAGTGTTTATGCAATTCACAACATTTCCCTTGTCCTCGCTGTTACTGTCACTGGCTTTTTCTCAGTCGGCTTCATAGTAATTTTTTTTTTAATGGGGAAATTTTCCTCTTTACCTCCTGCATCCTATATTTGATCCCTTCCCTACCCCTCCAAGGTACAGACTTACCCGAGGTCCTGACAAATGATAAGAAAAGTGTCTTTGGGAAGCCCGTGACTCTTCATATTGTCTGTATTTTGTCACTGAAGAGAAGTTGGTGTTCTCCTTGGTTCTGCTTGGTCCCTGACAGCTCCCGCTGGAGCAAGTGTTTCCACTGAGCCAAGCATGCATATCACTGTGACAAGCCACTTGCGTGCTGTCCCATTCGCATACAGCCAGACCAGCCGACGGGGCATTGCAGCCAGGTTGCTCTTTCAGCAAGTTACAGATCACTCAGTTCTATTTTAAGCAGATGGAATTATTTGATCACGGAAGGTGAAGTGAGAGAGCTGGGTTCGCAGGTGGGTCTGTGAATAGGACACCATGAGTCCCCACCCTTCCGGCCCAAACGCTTCTGTGAGCGCCTGTGCCTGGCCCCCAGGAGACCTGCCTGCAGCCTGGTTTCCACTGGCTTGGGCTCCTGTCTGCTGTCAGCACCAGCCCTCGGTGGCACCACAGGCTGTGCTCCGCGCTCTGTGCGTACAGCTGCAGGCCAGGAACTTGGTGCCCCCCTGGCTCCCCGAGCAGATGTGAAGTCTGGCTACTCCCCTGCCCTTCGTTTGCAGGGACAGCCTGCAGAGCACCTGGTCACAGCACCAGGAGAAAACTGGAGTCTGGCCTCCCAGCTGTCCATGGGGTCTGCAGCTGGGAGGCAGCTGGGCGGCTGATGGTAGGTGCCCCAAACAGCCAGGCGGTTGCAGGACAGAGTGGCTGCCATTGAGTTGATCCCACCCCCTCAGCCCCCAGGCAGAGTGAAGTATCACTAAAATGACCGTGACATTCTCGATGTCCAGATCCTCAGAGCTGGGTGCCGCCTGCAGAGAGGATGTGATGATGCATGCTGCTGACGGCGAGGCTTGGAGTTGAGCTGCCTTTTCCTTTTCTGGTTTTGCAGTCACGGTGGCTTCTCTCCTAGGAGGAGTTGGCTCTCATCTTAGGCTCTTGCGGGGGTGACCCGGGGACATTCTCACCACTGCCAACTCTTGGGCTATTCTGGGTCTTGGCTTGGGGCTCCGCGGGTGGGCCCGTGTCAGAGGAGCTCAGTGAGCAGGAGGAGGTGACAGGTCTTGTCCTTAGGGTTTCCCAAGAGAAGCCCCTTCAGAAAAGACCAGGGTAGGGGAGCGGGGGAGCAGGGACAGGCTCCACAGCACACACCACGTGGTGTGTTCTTGAGAGACACGGGGAAGCTGTCTCCCCATGCCCTGTCTGCTAGAGAAGCAGTGAGCTGCCGTGACGCTGCTCCAGCTTCATTCTCTCTGCCTGGTTACCAGGCCCAGGAGAGTGGAGACGGGGCCAGGCCAGGTCTGAGGGAGGAACGGGGAGGCCCACCCCATTCGGGGCACATGTGGCTCTGGCACAGGGGCAGCTCCGTGTGAGCCGCCTGTACCAAGAAAGCTCTTCCTCCGCCTTGTAGTCAGAGCTGGCTCTGCAGCCCCATCCTCCTACAACGAGGATGTTGAGTAAGATCTCATGCTCTCGCTTCACCTCTGGAAAGCCCCGCAGCATTCGAGTGAACACTCCAGGGAAGCGGAAAGACGCCAAGGAGCCTCCAACGTTGGCCTTTGCCGGTGTGAGCATGTGGTGCTGACAGGGTTTCCCTGCCACCCCCTTCCTGGGGCCACCGCGTCACCATTGTCTGTGTCAGTGGTGTGCAGTGTTGTACAATGAGCTTGTGGGTGGACGTAAGTCTGTCTGCATGGCCCACAGCCGACATGCGCAGTGGGTTCTGTGCTGAGCCTGGTCTGTGCTCCCTTGGATGAGATCCCAGAAGCTCTGCAAGTCATCTCCCCTCTCCTTCTCTAGCATACCCCTCCGGACCCCCAATTTCCTATCCTAGATGGGGTGCAAAAGAGGAGGACACCAGACTGGCTCTTTAGCTTGCCTCTCACAAGTCCACCTTGCCCACAGCCCAGTTTCTGTGTCAGTGTCCAACCAGGAAAACAGAAGGCCCTCTAAAGTATTAAAACAGAAGGGTTCTAATCCAGGTAATTGTAGCACAGAAACAAGAAACGCTGCAAGGCCAAACGGGAGAGGGGGGCAATCCAGAGGTGAGTTGGAAGGCTGATGGGACACAGGGGAGAGGCTGTGTTACTAGAGCCTGGGGCACAGGAACACGGGGAGGAACCTGGGACCATAGGGGGCCTGTCCTTCAGGGGCTGCCACCACAGGAGGCAGGGTCCTTGCCAGAAACAATCCCCCAGGCCGAGACGGGAGAAATGGCCTGATTCTCCCTAGCGTGTAGCTTCCCGATTTCTACAGGCGCCTCTTGTTAGCTACATCCAGCTGGAAGCGAGCCGACCTGGGGGCCTGGGACAGGCAAGCTCAGCGGTCAGCTCCCCACCACTCAGAGGAGCCGGGAAGGGCGAGGAGCAGGTCTGAGGGTAACCAGGCCAGGACATGTGCTCTGTATCATGTCCGAGCCTGGTGTTCATGCCCCATTCTGTCCTGAGGTCCCGGTGAGGGGAGACAGAGGAACTGCCTCTGGGTTTTTATAGATTTTCTTTCACTCTACCCAGAGAGGAATGTGCGTTTGGGAGGGAGGAAGAAAGCCTTTATTCTTAGCAGTTGTCCCTGTTTTCCTTTGGAGGAACTAACCCAGGTAGCAGCCCCACCTCACCATGGCTCTCAGGAAAGCTGTGACCCAGGTATCTGTCCCCCCTGCCCATGTCTCTCCCCCGATCTCTGGTTTCCCTGCCAGAGAACAGTGACCCCGAAAATGCATCAGTGGTCAGGAGTGTTTCCCCAGGACCATTCATTCGGAGAGCGACATTAGTGTGCGCTGTATCTGTAAGTAGCTGCCATCTACTAATCAATTATCGTGTTTCCAATCAATTTCGGGAAATGATGCCTGGTTTATGCTGTCCTTCGCTGGGGCAATGGCTCAGCTGTCCGGCTGGGTGCACACAGCCCTGGCATCGGGTCCTCCTGGTCTCGGGTGCTGCATCCCCTGCGTAGCTCTGAGGGCCTTGGGGAGTCATAGGCCAGGCCAGTGACCTGATGTCCCCACATGCCAAGACTCTCAGGGTTTGCGTCTTCTGCTGTCTCATAAGCCAAATGGAGGTTTTGTGAAGCCAGGTCACTCTAATGATAGGTGGCCTTGGACCCTGTGTCCCCAAACCTGGAGGTATGAGCAGCAACAGACAGACGTTTGCCCATCAACCACTTGGCACTGCTCTGCCCAGTGCCAGCCGGGGGGTGTGAGCTGAGGGCGTGTGCTGTGCCCCGTGCATGGGGAAGGCTCCTGTGCAAAAGAAGTGGACACAGGAGCTACATGTTCCACAGACAGAAGCCCACCACCCTCTTGTCATACCGCCCTCCTTGGGCCTGAAAGGCAGAAATAAAAATGTCTGAGGTGACTTAAAAGGCAAAGGGAGCCTGACCCAAATGCCCTGCATTCTCCCTTCTTTCCCAGGCCGAGTGCTGGCGCCTGCCCTGAAACGTTATCCTCTGGCGCGTATCTCATTGGTCCCAGCCTGTCTGCCGGCTGGGGAGACTCTGCCTCAGTTGCTGTGCTGGGCCGTGCAGGCTCACTCGGAACTGCTCCAGCCCATGTCTCGGAGGAACACCTGTTTGTGACTCTTGTTTGCTGGCATTTGTGAGAGACTGAGAGATTGCGAGATAGAGATAGAGAGATACAGAAATGCAAGAGAGGGAGAGAGAAAGAGTCCAAGTTTCTTTCCGGAGTTTCCGGAGAAGCAAGACATAAGTACGTGAGGTTACTGGAGAACCGAGAAGCTGTACCTTGGGCTGTGCCAGTAGTTGGAGGAGTTCCGGGATAGAGGGCTCAGGGAGGCCGGACCGGTGGTCAGGGAAGGCTCTGTGAAGCAGAGGGAGCCCTCAAGGTCGAACACAGCAGCCCCCCGTCCATGGAATCCCTAAGGTGACCGTGGTTCTTGGTGTCTTTTTATTTAGACTTTTTATCCTGACTCGAATACTTCCTTCTTTCTGGAAGCTGATCTGTAGAGCTCAGAGTGTCCCATGCCCTCCCCGCCAAGGGGTACCAGCCTTAAGTTCCATTGCCGAGTTCCATTAAGTTCCTTAAGTTCCATTGCCGAGACTGGGATTGTTACGGTCAGACTTCCTCAGGAGGTTTCTTCTGGCTAAGCTTTACCTCCTACTTGTTCCACTCTTGCTCCTGAACTACAGGGGTCACTGGGGGAAACCATGCGACCTGCAGGGGCTGTTGCTGCCCCATAGCTGTGGGTGCTGACTCCCCAGGTACCTTTGCGCTGCTTGCTTAGTGGCCCTTTTATATGTATGCTAGGAGCTTGTTATCTTTTAAAAAAATGTTTTTATTGATTTCAGAGAGGAAGGAAGAGGGGGAGAGAGAGAAACATCAATGATGAGAGAATCACTGATCGGCTATCTCCTGTACACCCCACACTGGGGATCGAGCCTGCAACCGGGGCATGTGCCCTGACCAGGAATCAAACTGGGACCTGGTTCATACACCGACACTCAACCACTGAGCCATGCAGGCTAGCGGGTCAGGAGCTTGTGTTCTTATTTTCAGAACCGGCTATTCCAGTCCTTTGTCACTCCCTAAGCCCTCACACACTGAGAGCCAAGCCGTCTAAGAATCCCTTCGCCTGTCTTCCCTCCGCCCCAAGGCCCTCTGTATGTAACAGTGCCTTTCCGACAACCCAAGGAGGCACCCCCGGGCTCTAGAGGACCCTCTGGCACCCACATACTGAATCCATCCCTCCCTGACCCCCCTTGCAGTAGAATGTCCTGACTCAGACCAGACTGTCACTCACTAGCTATATGACCTTGGGCAAGTTATTCAACCTCTCTGTGCCTCAGTCTTTCCATCTGTAAGTTAGGATAATGGTATCTACCTCATAGGACTAAATAAATCATACAGTGCTTAGTACAGGGCCTGGGACAGAGTGTTTGTTTTTGTTCTATCATCATTTTCTTCCCTCTGCCCTCATTTTCACCTTCTCTCCCTTCTTCCATCACTGGATTTAAATTTCTCCATCTAGTCAACACAACAACAGACCAATCAAA